AGTTTGAGCCTCACCCTCCCCAGTGCTACAAGACAATCAATCAAATCAATCAATCAATCAATCAATCAGTCATAGCCTTGCTGAATCAGTGGAAAGAATTTGTAGTTTCCCAGAGTTTGTAGTCAAGAGAAGCTATCAGAAGAACCTTTTTAAAAATATTTTATTTATTATCTTTATGTGTATGATTGTATTGCCTGCATGTATGTGAGTGCACCATGTCATGCAGTGTTGCAGTGGTCAGAAGACGGCTTCAGATTCCCCTGGAACTGGAGTTAAGGATGGTTCATAGCTGCCATGTGGGTGCTGGGAGTCAAACCCAGGTCCTCTGCAAGAGTGGTCAGCGCTCTCAACCTCTGAGCCATCCCTCCAGCCCTCAGAAGAATCTTTTAAAGGCTCCTTGGAGAGATGATGAACAGTTGTTCTCTAAGCTGTGGTACATATGACTGAAGAACTGATTTTTTTTTTTTACCACATTTGGAGAAAGAGAAGATTATATTTAGATGTCTTGCACATATATGAGACTTGTTACCAAAAAAAAAAAAAAAAGCTGTAAAAGGAGCTTTGTTACAACAAGGGATTCCTATTTAAGGCATGGGCAATCCTCTTACAAATTCTAAGGTAATGTAATTAAACTTTTCCTCTGGCTAGTATTAGTTTATCACACATAAAGCATGTGAGCCTGTTTGCTAAGAATTACTTTTCTGTGGTTTAGGTGCTTTGATATGCTAATTTGAACAGACCCACCCACATTCATTCACTAATTTGGATGGAGGGGAAAGTGGGGTACTGAGGGATCAAGGTCAGGTGCTAGGGCCACAAGTACACATGACTCAGTGAGCTTGTTTGCATTTAAACTGTAGCTTTCGGTGCAAGGTTGAGTCAAAGTCATTAGTCCAGAAGTCATTCCTACATACACATACTCTTACACATGTATGTACAATTGCACACACATCCTGTAGCACAAATGCAAGCTGTCTTTCCCATAATACTATATCAGTGTCCAGTCTTGATAGCACCTGTGGTTCAACTGTATCAGACTTAACCTTGACTGGCTGGAGGAAGATTTGGTCAGTGCCACCAGCACAGCATGGAGTAAGGCAGAAACCACAGATGCTGGGTCCTCTGCCTCTCGGTGGCCGACTCACAGAGTGAGCTCATCTCATCTCATAGAGCCACGGTTTCTCATCTTATACAGCAGGGACTTGTGCTAGGTGCCTCCCGACTTGAGCACCCCAGAGGTGTGTGCCAATCCCTTCGTTGTGTTGGGCCCCACCCTCTGCTTTTCTGGGTAGACCATCCACTCTTCGGTGATTCTTGAAGCTCACTGAGTGTTTTGGCCATCTAAATTAAATTCATTTTCTGTTAATGAAATTGTTGCCCCACATTCCTTTTCACTTGAATATAGGACGTGATCAGTACAGCCAAGAATAAAAGCCAACAAGAGGGCAGGATGGAAGACAGAAGGAGCTGAAAACAAAGGGCAAAAATCCAGATGAAAGAAAACGCCAGTTGCCACATCCGGGTAGTAGTATTCTTGTGCAAATCAGAATGGCCCAGAAAGGCCATGGCAACTATATCAGCCCCTAGACTCTACCGCCATCCCTCCTCCAATGAAATCCCCAGTTTAGAGAGATGGGGGTCAATAAAGCAAAGGAGTGCTATTGCCCCATGGCCATTGCACTTGTCCACACAGAGTACACAGCTCCTGTGAGTTCTGAAGAGTTTCAGATACTGGTTTTCCTCTTGAATTACCTAAGAGCATTCCTTACTGTTGCAAGATAGTTGAGTAGAAAATCCATGTTTTTGTGGTTTTTACTTTGATTTTGATACACAGTCACACTATATAGCCCTGACCAGCCTGATGTTCGTTACATAAATCAAGCTCGCCTCAAACTTGCAGTGATCCTCCTGCCTCTGCCTCTGGAGTGTTTAATTACAGGAGTGCTGGCTCAGTAGCGAATCCTTGTGCTCTGGCTTCTCCTTTCTGGATATGGTATGTTCTTCTACAACTAGATCATTTATTTCAGTGTTTTCCCATATGATTTCTTAGACTATTAAGCTTATGAAATATACTGTGAAAGGACAAATGAAATGAATCCTGAGGTCTAAACATGTGGAGAAGGGAGCAGAATCCTTGCCCTTTCTAAGGCGTTCCCAACGCACATTAGCCAGTTTATCTTAGTTTTCCCTGAACTTTCCCAGCAGTGTTTCACCACCCCACTTCTCTTCCCCATTACTTGTTAATGCTACAGAGCACTGGGATTAGAGGGCATAGAACAGCCTGGAAATATGAAAAGAAGAAAATAGGCCTAATTCCCAAGTCTGACCTCTCCAATCTAGTGTCTACTTAGCTCTGAAGACGGCCACATTTCAAAATGGTGAGAAATCCTCTCTTGTTCTCTTCCTAGACTAGAACAGGGACTCACTCTGAAGATGGACTTGCCTGTACCTAGTGACCCACAAGAATTAGACTTGTAGCTCTCTGTTCATCTGGCACTGAATTACTTCCTTGGGGGCACTGTGCGTGGTCCATCAGAAGCAGATCCGCTCAGTCCATTCATCTGTTCTTACCTAGGATCCCCTTCTTTCAGTTTTTGTCCCTGACTTCCCCAGACCTCCTTGGTTAAATAGATTTCAGTTTTTATCTTCTGCCTCATGCTTGACTGTTGACCTCACTCTTTTCTAATGGAACATACTTTGCATTTGAATATAGACTTGATAGGTACCATTAATAATGTTATAACTATAAGTATTAAAGATGAGAAATCTTCAGTATATAGTTGTCAAGATCTATACTTTACAAATTCATATCTAAGTCATAGATTCTCAAAGATAGGTGATTTTGACTTGCAGACTATTTGATATTGTCTGAAGACAATTTTGGTTGTCACAAAAAATTAGCCGGGGTGATACCACTGGCATCTGGTGATAGAGACGAGGAATACTGCTGAGTGTCCTACAGGGCAACCTCTGCAACAAAGAATTGTCAAATCCTAAAGGTCACTGGTAACCAGGCTGAGAAACCTTGGTGTCTGTTAATATGCAAAACCTTGTAAAATATTGTAAGAACTTACAATATTCATTGTAATTTTCATTCAGGGAAAATTCTGCCTTCCTTCTTGGTCTTTCCTTTCCTGGTATCTAATCCACAAAAAGTTTATTTTGGCATCTTGGGAGCCCTCAGGCAAGAATATGTCTGCTTGGGGAGTTTGTGCTACCTAGAAGTTAGTTTTTATTTTTATTTTTTGCTTTATTTACTTTTATTTTATGTGTATGTGTGTTTTGCCTGCATGTGTGTAAGTGCACCACATGCACGCAGTGCTCACAGAGACTAGAAGAGGGTGTCAGAGCCCCTGGAACTGGAGTTATGGACCATTGTTAACTGCTGGGTGCTGGGAACCAAATCTGGGTTCTCTGCAGGCATAGCCAGTGCTCTTAGCCTCCGAACCATCTCTCCAGCTCTTATCTAGATGTTAGAATATGTACCAAGAATCAGGAATAAAAACATTTTCCCAAAGAACATGACTTTAACTAATTGAGCTGTTTGTTGCTGTACTGTTGAAACTCAACTCTTAATGAGGCCTAGACAATTAAGATAAACTTGTTCTTTCCCAGGATCCCAGATAACAGAATAACATAGAAATGGCCATTCTGTTCATTTTTATTTAACATTTCTGTATCTCATTTTCCCCCTCATTTGTGATGTGGGGATGATGACAAGTATAATAGTTCCTACCGAGAGGATAATTATAAGAATTAAGCAAGTTAAGCCGGGCGTCGTGGCACACGCCTTTAGTCCCAACACTCAGGAGGCCGAGGCAGGTGGATCTCTGTGAGTTCAAGGCCAACCTGGTCTCCATAGCGAATTCAGACCAGCTGGGGCTACAGGGAGACCCTGTTTCAAAAGGACAAAAAAAAGTCGTTTTTTTTTTAAACTTATTTATCTGTTTTGTTTAGTTAGTTATATGTGTATATGTGTCTTTGTAAGTGTATCTGTACATGTGTATGTATGTGCCCACAGAAGCCAGAAAAGGGTGCCTGGTATCCCCCTCTATCACTCTTCACCTGTTCCATTGAGGCAGTGTCCCTCCCTGAACCTGGGACTCACGTCTCTGCTAGACTGGAAGCCAGCGAGCCCCACTGATCCTACTTTCTCTGCCCCCTTGCAATCTAGGATAATAAGCATATACAAGATGCCCACTTTGTTATGGCACACACACACCCTTTTTAAAAAAATTCTAAGAAAATCTCACAGCATTTATTGTCACTGGTATCCCCCTCTATCACTCTTCACCTGTTCCATTGAGGCAGTGTCCCTCCCTGAACCTGGGACTCACGTCTCTGCTAGACTGAAAGCCAGTGAGCCCCACTGATCCTACTTTCTCTGCCCCTTGCAATCTAGGATAATAAGTATATACAAGATGCCCACTTTGTTAGGCACATACACACCCTTTTTTTAAAATTTCTAACAAAACAATCTCACAGCATTTATTGTCATCACATAATAACACAGGGGTCATTATAATAATATGAATTATTTCAGAACTGTTCTCCCAACAGAAGACACCATTGAAAATAACAAAGCTGTATTACCTTCCCAATGACTTCTTAGATCATTGGTTATTGCTAGTTAAAGACACTGTGTAGCACAGTAATGTTACCTTCTTCTAACATGATCCGACCAAGTTGCTTTCTTGACTTTGTTTTAGAATGAAAACAGCTAATATGAGGTTCATGTTCTCATCAAGGTTTTGACATAATCCTCTGCCCTCACATTCCGCTGCTCATAGAGCCACACCTGAACCTGAGGTCCGAAGATAATGCTATTGAGCTGCACCATCCCTTTCTGTACCCATGACCCTGGCTGGCCACTGTATATGATGGAGTCTCACAAAGACCACATGTTTCTGCCACCACCTCAGAAGCAACTTCTGGAACTAAGAACAGGAAATGGAAGAAAACTCTAGATATTGATCATTGGGTTTCTTTTTTTTTTCTAGAAATCTTCTGTATGTCTACCCACAGAGACTGAACTTTGCTAACAAACTAGCATCTGCCCGGAACATTACAATAAAAATCCAGTTTATGTGTGGAGAAGATCCTAGCAACGCTATGCCGGTAAAGAGAGGGGTAACATTTGCCTAGGGTGGGCTGTGCTTCCTTTGTCCATTCACATTGGCAAAAATCTAGAGTTCATCGGTGTTCAGAGTATATCTGCCACCCCCCCAATCCAGGGCTTCTTGTATGCCACGCAAGTGCTTGACCACTGAGCTCTCCAGATCAATGTATAGTGTATTCTGTTCCAGCACAGTCCACTTAAAACACACAAGAGCCTTTTTTGGATAGCCTGGTATTGTTCCCAGGATGATGATGAGGAAACAGCATCAGTCTAAATTGAGTATGTTTCCCAACTTATGCCACTATGAGATGTCTCAACTTGGAAAATCGTTTTAAAGGATTGAACGATATCATAAGGTCTCTCCACATTGCCCATGGAGCCATACCACTCCATTCTACAAAATTAAAGAGATTGACTCCGTTTACTCTTCATAGCCAGAGCTAGTTGGTAAGATTGGGCCAATTGTAGGACCCAGCCCTCTTAACTTGTGTAGCATAGCTCTGTGGGCCTGAGTATCCTGCCGGTGTAATAGGACAGGATTGGATATAGCCAAAAGCCACTCTTCATTTGGTTCTTTTCATATTGACAAACAGGTCATCTTTGGGAAGTCCAATGGGCCTGAGTTTCTG